TTAACTGAGAACTAGGATGAGGGAGCTTTTTGGGGTGACAGAAATGTTCTAAAACTGGATGGCTCTGATGATTGCATAACTATACATCTACCAAGGAATCACTGAACTCTACACTTAAAATGGATGGTTTTGATGGTATATAAATTATACTTCAATAAAGCTGTTTTTAAAAGTAAAGTGCAGTTGGAACAAATGAGAAAAGGGGTAAGGAAAATTTGGCTTCCTCTGGAGTCAGCTGCAAAGCCAAATATCCAGCGATGACTGGCCATGGATGAGTGCAAATACACTGAAATGGATGATTCCCCAGCTCTGTCTTTTAAATCAGTCACAGCAAATTCGTTTGCCAGGAGTCAATCCAATTGCCCAAGTTTCCTCTATGGTCCATTGAAAAGATATAAAATAGCCTCCTTCTTTCTTCCTTATATAATACTACTCTCACCAATTATGTTCAATCTGCTTCATAAAGTATCTTCCTGTTGCAAACCCTAGGCTTCACTTCACCTGCTGCCTGCCAGCAGGGGAAATTACACCATTTCTGTTACTTACATTTGTGCAAGTATCTAATCTTCCTGAAGCATCACTTTCTTTCTATCTTCATCTCTCCTGCTCATGAAATGTCAGTGATTTCCCACTGTCAGCCAGATAAATCTCCAAACTTCTTAGTCTAGGATTTAAGGTCCTCAACCTTCTGCTTCCACAACTTTCCTTTCTAGCTATCTCCCTAAGAACCTAAGACTGGAGTCTGGTGACATTGATTTCTTGTTTTACCAAAACTTTGCGTTTATTCAAAATGGTGAACAAGGATTATTATTCAAAGTGGTGAACAAGGATTGGCAATGGTTAGTCAGAAGATTATGGGCCATAAAATAAGACATTCTTAGCTTTGGATCCTCGTGCCACCTCTTAAGACAGTATGAGATCTCTGATAAATAAGGCTCAGAAGAATGTTTTTCATCTGAAAAATGAGGATTTTATTTACCAAGCAGGACTGCTGTGGTAACTGAGGAGAAAAGAAGATACATAAAAAGTTTACCACAGAGGTGGCGCACACCTGTAATCTCAGAACTTGGGAGGCTGAAACAGGATAATTGCTGTAAATTCGAGGCCATATATATAGTGAGCCTGAACTATAAAGTGATCAAAAAATTTAAATAAAAAAATTTAGCATACAGAAAATACTCAGTTATACTGACTGGCAGGGAGAAGTCCTTAGTAAGCTAGCAGGTTCATTATTACAGAGCTAGTGGTAATGAATTTATTCTATCAAATGCTACAGCAGACTCTCTCATTAGGCATGAGGGATAGGAAGCAGGAAAGGCTGAGGTAAATGAAACTGGGGAGCCTTTAGGAAACACATGCTTGTACCTACATACTGATCTTCTGATTGAATTGGTTTTAAGAAGGTCCTGACAACTACATTTCTTGACAATTCCAAGTGCTCTTAATGTTGAGTGAGAAGCACTACTTTTAGAGAAATAGTATGGTTAGGAGAAATATAGCATTATGAGAAGGAAAGGACCTGCAAAAGGAATCCTTGCTTTATAGTCTACTAGTGGTGGCGAACCTATGGCACATGTACCACAGTGGGCTGTTTGTATCACTGAAAGGTCTAAAAGGTTCATCATTACTGGTCTAGACTCCAGGTGGGCCATTAATTTTTCTTTCTGTCTCCACATGCCCAAAGACACAGTGATATCTAACAAGGCTGGTACAAAGACAGAAAGGGAAAAATGGCTATGAAGCATTGCATGGTCATTAAGTTATATGCAAATATTTATTTAATGCTACCACTAGGACCTTCAATCTTTTGGATCTGGTTTGATATTTTGACACAGAAACTAATTAATGGGAGCCAAATAAAAACTTCTATCTCCTAAAAGAAGCAATTAGAAAGCAGATGGTGGCTCCCCTTTAAAGCAAAATGGTCCTAGAGAGATGGACTGGTAACCTCAGGAGCAAAGGCCCTTCATTAACTCTCATTTTAGTTAATTGCTATGCTCACAACTATTTAATCAACACCAAAGCACAATCAATCTTAATCTCCTTGTGAAAGCAGGCTAGAGTTTCTGGCCAGGAGTAATTTAGCACCCCAGATTTTCCTCATCTGACAAAATCTGTCCTTTAACTTCAGAGCTCTTTTGCAAGGTCTTTGGGTCCTGAATTAACTCCTGACAGGGCTAAAACACTTTATTCATTTCAGGATGATGTCTCCGACACCCAGTTTATTGCTTTTAAATATAAATTTATAAAAAAATGTGAACTAGGGTTTCATGATAAACCAACCTTTAAAAATAAGTCTGATCAAAAGGAAGGAGTGTTTCCCAATGCAAACACCATGCTTCCATCAAAGGGGCTAAAAAAAAAAAATCCACACCTGTAATCAATTTTCTGAAATTACAATTTCCAGCAGATATAAGCCAGGCATTGGTAGTGTAGAAGTGCTCTATGGGAGAGAAATACTTTTCTCTTTCACTTTTCATTAATGACAAGTTTCCTACACAGCCAAGAGAATACCTGCTGGGGGAAAGGCTGCATCTCTCAGAGCCCCACTCTGTCTTCAGCTGCAGTCAACAACTGGCTCAGAGGTCCTTTCAGCTTTTTCACATGCAAGGCAAGGAGGAAAAAGTCTGGCTGAGAAGCACTCTCCACCAACTTGGGGCAATGCTATTCATACAAGATTTATTGCACAAAGTCTGAGAAAACTGGGACAAATACTAGCCAGCCTATTTCTTTTGCTCAGTTATTTATTTTAAAATTTTCTTGTCTCAATCTTTTGGGTTTTTTTCAATTTTTATTATTTTTCTCTCTCCATTGAGATTTTGGAAGGCTTGGGGTTTTTTTTTCCTCCCTTTTTGGACTTTTTTTTCTCTTTTAGTTTCTGTGATTGTTAACTGATTAAGTCAATTTGAGTAAGAAACGTTCAACTAAATTGGATTTCTGCTCAGTTATTGAGTCTTTAAAGGTAGAATGGTTGTTATGGCGAGCAACTGGGACAAACTTCTCAATTCCTGAGGCCATAAGGTTGATTTGTCTCTAATGACCATGGAAAGCTTTGGGTCAGGACCTCAACTCAAGTCATCTAAGAAGCTTCATGCCCACTATGCCACAGTACAGTGGCGATCTCTCGCAGCATACTTTTAGTGCCACGTCAGTCTTCTGGTCATGGCTAAATGCTAATCACTATACAGTGGGAAGGGTACTGGGCTGGGGAATAAGAAGATCTGCACTCTACTTTAGCCCAAGCAATGCTGTGTCTGTGTGTGTGTGTGTCCATGGATGCGCGATCTTTTAGAGGCCTGATCTTTTTTTTGGTACCGGGGATCAAACTCGAGACTTTGCGCTTGCAAGGCAGGCAGCGGAACCACTGAGCTAAATCCCTGGCCCGAGGCCTGATCTTTTAATTGGTCTCTGCTATAGTTTGTTCATCGTAGTCACCAGCAAAAACCCTAATACCGACTCAGTTCTACTATCTGCCCTTTTGTTTTCCTGTATCAGCTCAAAAGAAAACATCATCCCTTCAAATTCTCTAACAACATTATGTCTTTGAGCCTCTACGCTTGCTCCTTTCTGCACTCTTCCAGAAGGCTGTGATGGTTATCTCTTTAAACATATATACAACCATGCCATTTCACTGTTCAACCCCTAAGTAGCTTTTCGCTGCCCTGTGAATAAACTATGCACACTGCTTCCATGCCTAGCACATGTCTCTGACCTAACTGAGGCCATCTTCCTCCCTGCTCAGTAAGCTTGGACCACACTAGCACCCTTTCAGTTCCTCACATGTGCCAGCTTTGTCTTTCCTGCCCTTAGTTTGTGTCTCTACCTTCCCTCCCTAAATCCATGTGTTGCAGCCCTAATTCCCTGTGTGGCTATCTTTGGAGATGGGGCCTCAAAGAAAGTAAGGTTAAACGAGGCCATAGAGGTGGACCCTAATGCAACAGGGTTAGTGTCCTTAAAAGAAAAAATACCAGGGCCGGGGATTTAGCTCAGTGGTTCTGCTACCTGCCTTGTAAGTATGAGGACCGGAGTTCAATCCCCAGTACCAAAAAAAAAAAAAAGAAAGAAAGAAAGAAAGAACTCCCTCTCTTTTTCTGTGTGTACACAAAAGCTCATGTGAGCACACTTAGCTTCCAGAACTGTGAGAAAATAAATTTCTGTTGTTGAAACCACTCAGTCTATGGTATCTTGTTATAGCAGCCAGAATAGACGAGTGTATTGCCTCAAAGTTTTGCATATGTAATATTGCTGTCTAGGGCCTTTTTTTCCTTCTGCTTCTCTTTTCTTTCTCTTCTTCCTTACTTCTCATCAAACGTTCCTTTCAACTGGACCACTGCAATGAAACAGTTCTCCCAAAGGTCACCAATTACTTCCATTTCTCCTGAACCAACAGATGTTTTAATCTTTATCTTACTGGATCCTTTCTGTCGAACGTGACGTTAGAACCCTCAGTTCCTGAACCCTCTCTTCCCTAGCTTTGATTTCACTACCCTATCTAGGTATCTTTCTCTGGATCTTCTAGATTTCCTTTCTTAGCTGCTTAAATGTTACTGTTCCACTGGGTTCTTTCCTTAGCCCACATATTTGTTTTCTTCTTTTGTGTAATATCCACCTTGGGAAATCTCTTTCATTCTCATCGTTTTAATTCTAACAGTGTACTGATAAATATTCAGCTGCTTCTTGATTATACACTTGAATAGTCACCTAGTATCTTAAATACAAGACATCCACAACTGCGACTCTTTACGTTCCCATCCAAATTAGCCTTTGAAATTCTCAATCTCAGTGCATGGTGCCACCTCTTGCCTGAACAAGAAATCTGGGATCACTCTGGACTCTCTTCTTTGCCTGCTGTTCACTTTTCTTCCTCTTTGGGGCTCAAGTGCATGGAGGAGTTAGTTGTACTCCTTAGCTCATGATACTCTCCCATCATTAGTTTGGTCCCTTTGCAATAAGCAGCTGTTCCATTGTTTTCTTTTCTTCCTCCAGCCAAAGCAACCTACCTTTCCATCTCTGAAGTGCTTCTTGAGCTGCTTCTGCATGGCAGTCAGCTTCTTGGACTGCACCCCACTGTAAGCCAGCAGCATGCCACCAAACTGCCTCTCAGTTATCCTTCCATCCACAGGGTCATGGCGTTCAAACTGAGGGGGAAACAGAAACAGCACTCTTGGAGTCAGATGGAAACTATTTTGACACAGAGCAACTATGTTAGATGGCAAAACATAGCTGATGGCTGGGACTGTATTTCTGAGCTACGATTTTGAGCAAGAATTTAAAAAACTACAAAGAAACAGAGATCTGGGCTCAAATTTGCAATCCTCTTGCCTCAAGGCAACTCTTGCCTCAGCCTCCCAGACTGCTAGGATTACAGGCATGCACTCCTACACACAGCCATTAGTTCTACTTTGCAGATGAGAACATTGAAGCAATATGCAGCTACATGTGGCAGAGCTGGGGTTCAAACTTGGCCCCGTGTGGGTCCAAAAACTCTCAACATCATAGTTTCTTGCTTTTAAGCAGTAGTATACATGCAGGCTGGATGGTTTTTTTTTTTGAGACAGGATCTCGCTTTGTAGTACAGGCTGGCCTCAAACTTGTGGCAATCCTCCTGCCTCAGCCTCCTGAGTGCTGGGTTTGCACTATGTTGTTTCGGATAAACTAATACAGCCATGGGGCTTATAAGTCATATTTAAGTAAGAAGCGAGACTATTTCCAATGAAATCAACATCATCAATATTAACTGAAAGGCTTTTTCAACTCAACTACTCAATATTGCTTGTTTGTCAAAACATCACTTCTTTAGAGCTGATTAATTTTTGACAATACCAAAAGTTTTCAGGATTCAATGTTAGTCTGATTTATGGCTTAATTTGCTATCCTGAAACAAACAGCTGACAAAATTTTGCAAACAGGATACTTTTTGCAGTGTTTAAAACAGATTTTCAGTGAAATCTGACACCTGGACAAAAGTTGCAGTTGCACACAGCTCAACCAGGGGCGTCTCTTGAAACAAAGCAGTGGCCCTTGTACCAGGCCAGTCTATAAGGACTGAGTGTTTGTTCTCCCCTTAGCTGAAGGATTTCACAGCTATGGGCAACCCCGGATGTTTGCACTGGATGAGTTTTCAGTTCTATCCCATTAGATTTGAGGCTGAAAGCCTTCTTGTTCAGAACACTGGCAGCAACCGCAGCTTGCTCAAGGCTTATGAAGGCCTTAATTCTCTTTTCCCCATCGGGACAAAGCTTCTCCTCTGTTATGTATCAAAGGCAGTAAAGACAGTTTTTAGTGGAGATTCCTAAGTAATAAGTTCAACATTCAAGCTGGCATTTTCACTACTGTTCTTTGAAAACTCAGACTTAGCCTTTGGTAATAGATCCTATTTTTATTATTCTATTTCTTTCTTTCTTTCTTTTTAAAATTTTTGTTATTTTTAAATAATGAGCTGAAAGGGCTTAAAAGTTATAAAATTCAGCTCATCTGTGTAGTATGGAGCACTCCAAAGCTTCTTAGTTCAGCTCTGTAATTTGATTTTGGGTAGCAACTCTCTAGGTTTGCAGTCTTCTGAGGCAAGGCTGCTTTATTTCTAAGGCTTGGTTCTGTGTTTTGGCAGTGCTGGAGATTGAACAAAGCCTTGTACATGCCAGGCAAGTGCTCCACTACTGAGCTATGTGTCCTGCCTATTTCTGAGGTCTTAAACATGACTAGAGAGGGCCATGGAGAGCTGTTTTTCTTTGCACACACAACTGCTAATGGAAACAGTATGAATTAAATGTCCCATTGATTCAGCGTTTTAAACTCAAGACTGTCTATGTTAAGGTTAAGGAGTTTTGAGAGCAGTTATCTCAAGCACCTTCATCAGGGTTCAAATTTCAAGGGCAATAGCTAGGCCTTCCATAGCTGTAGGGGTCAAGTGTGCATCTTTTTTTTTTTTTTTTTTTTTTTTGTGGTACCAGGGATTGAACTCAGGTCCTTGCACTTGTGAGGCAGGCAGTGGAACCACTGAGCTAAATGCCTGGCCCTCAAGTGTGCATCTTAAACCTTGACAATCTTGTGAGTGCTCTCCCAGAATGCTGTGTACATGCACTCAACCCCCAAGGTCAGGGGAGGGCCTGGAAGCAATTTGAATCAGTGGCTTGCATTTTACTTAGCCAAACGTATGATCCACTTATGCTGGAATCTCTCAGGTTCCACTCCAATGACAAGGAAGAAACTCCATTCTATTTGATCCTGTGGTACAGAATGCATGGCACACACCATCTGTGCCACTTTTGTGTTTTTAGAAGGAAAGCTGACCAGCCTAGCACTTTCCTTTCTGCAGCCATTGCTGCATTCTCAAATGGATGCAAGCTGTTGTCTCCCTGTAGGTCCCCAGGCGGCTGCAGAGCAGGCAAAGAAGGGCCATAAAAGAGGAGCCAAAAAACTGTCTGCAAGCTTTTTCTTGGCTTTCTATTCATATTTACCTCTCACTCCTACCCCTACCCCTTGCTGAGAGAAGGGATAGCCTTTTGGAAAGACAGATGGTCTACATATATCTGTATGAAATGATTTGAGGAAGACAAGAAGCCAAGAAGAGGAGAAAACATGCATTATGAACAAAGGCCAAAATGAAGGTTAAAAAATAGTAAAAAGAAAATGACATCAGTATCTGCAAGTGGGTCTTCATTTATTAAAGACTTCTGGAATTAATGTGTTTCAACAAATGTTAACTTCAATCTTGTTCTGTTTCATATAATCACCTTTCAGACTTTATCCCTCGGAGTAGATCCTCCCATTATCTAAATATTTCAGAATGATAAATTTCTTGATTGGCTATTTCTAGTTTCTAAACTGATAAGAGATTGTATAGTGATCTCAAGTCACTGAGCTGAACACATCTATGTTTTTCAATCTGACAGAGGTGGCTTTTGAAATCTTAACTACGCCACTGTTGCTTCTGTCAGGAATCTCCCTGTCTATCAGGTCCATCAAAAGGAAAACCAATCACAGGCAATGTTCTCTACTATAAAGTCACTTCCACTGAGCATGACATACATATTTCATAGTTTGAATTGAAGTCTGTTTCTACAATTCGATGAGTACACTGCAGAGCTCTATGCCAGATTGCAGGAGCCTGAATTTCCCTGATCTTTAAATATGAGGCATCTTCACTGTCAACACTAATCTGATTGTCTTTTGGTGAGGTAAGGAAGAAGACCTACAATGTTGAATGGAGAGGCCAAAACAATCCATTAGACTTGGACCACGAAATTACAGAATATGAAAATGAACTACTAGGCTTTTTATTTTTCCATTTTTTCCCCTTGGTGATGCTGGGGATAGAATGCAGGATCTTGCATGACATGCAAGCACACTACCACTGAGCTACACTCTCCCACCTAAACTGCTAGACTTTTCTACTTCAAATCCAAACATCACTTCCATTTAAAAATTGTTTTAGCCAGGCACATACCTGTAATCCTAGCTAGCTAGGAGGCTGAGCCAGGAGAATCAAGCATTTGAGACCAGCCTGGGTATCAGAGTAGGAACCTGCCTCAAGTAAAAAATAAAAGTTCAGGGTGGTGATCAAATCAAATCAATTAACTAAAAGGTTGACCTTATAGTCTGAAAGCCCCAAACAGGAAGATAATAAGACTGATGAATGATCTTATTACAGGATAATAAAAATCAGAACATATTTGCCTAAGAGTGTTAGGGAAAAATTATTTTAGATCTCTCTTGATCAAAGAGTTTCAAGCTTAATAAGTTTTAGTTTCATTCCACATAAGGCAATATGTTGAAGTGACTAACAATATGTGTTTTAAAATCAGCAAGATCTAGGTCCAAATTCTGACTTAAATCCATACTTACTGGCCGTGACTTTAGGCAAGAGGCTTACGCCCTTTAGAGATTCAAGATCCCCTTACCAAAAAATGGAGATAATATTTGTGATCTCAATGTACTGCTGTATGGATGAGAAAATATATGTAAAGAATTCAGCACAGAGTTTGGTGTCTAGTTAGCATTCAATAATTGTAGTAATGAATATTTTATTTTGCAACTGATATTTTTATTGCCATGATATCACTTCCTAGGAAGGTATATAGCCTCCATTGATTTTTCTGTTCATAGTGACTATTAAGTTCAATTACTATTTTTCATTCTTTTCATAATTCTTTTTGCCCAGTCTTTGTTTACAGAATACCATCTGCACATTTGAAGAGCAGAAAAAGTAAATGCAAAAATTTTATTATTCAACACGTGAATGAATTCAAGATTAAACTACTTAGAATTGGCTAAAGCAGAACACCAACTTAAGTCCTGTATCCTTGCCATAATTACCAGAGGAAACTTAGCATAACAAGTTCATTAATGAGTGATCATGGACAAAACACTACAACAGTAACTCACAACACCTGTGTCCTATTGCTGAGACGATTTCCTACTTGAGGCAATGAATATCTCTCCATTTACCCCTTTATAATATATGATACAGATTTCTGTAAGGATAGTCTTGCTAATAACATTTTTTATGTATGGCTAATAATTGTATCTGAGTGCTTACTTCTTGACAGGTACTGTTCTACGAATTTATCTTCTATTATTCTCACAATCCTATATAACAAGTACTATTTTTATTCTATTTTACAGTCAAGGAAAAATAAGCAGAGAGAAATTAAATAACTTGCCACCCTGTTAATCTGGGGAGAAATTTCTCTCTGTTCTCAGTAACAAAACAGCTGATTTGGTCTTATTTTAAAGGTATAATGGATCATGTTTTTCTTTTTATCCCAGTTATCAGAAAGCTCAGAGTTAAGTTTGTTGTCCACCTCTAGCAATACTGGAGACCCTATGACTTGTTTTTCATACTAACCTTAATTCTAGTTTTCTCTTTTTCCTTCTTTTAAGTTGGTTTATTTTTGCCTGGCTTTATAAATGGCACCCTACTGGATGTGCTCTTCTGTGATTTGCTTTATTCAATCAATATTATATTTTTTGGATTCATTCATGTTGACATATTTAGTTGTGCTTCTTTTGATTTCTATCAAAAGAAAACTAGTACTATTAAAAAAATAAATGTTGATTTAGGAAAAAAAAGAAAAAGAAAGTAGAACTGTTTATTAGTTTCCCTATTAAATGGACTTCTGAGTTATTGTCAGCTTTT